CTGAGAATAGTGATTTTAAGCTAGATGCACAAGGTGTGTTGAGATTTTGTAACCAGATTTGTATTCCTGATGATGCTGAGATGAAGAAAGTGATACTTGAAGAGAGTCATAGAAGTAGGTTGAGTATTCATCCAGGAGCTACAAAGATGTATCAAGATTTGAAAGGCTTATTTTGGTGGCCTGGGATGAAGAGTGATGTGGCACGTTTTGTGTATGCATGTTTGACTTGTCAGAAGTCGAAAGTTGAACATCAGAAGCCTGCAGGGTTGATGCAACCATTGGAAGTTCCAGAATGGAAATGGGATAACATTTCAATGGACTTTGTGACAGGGTTACCTAATACTTTAAGAGGACATGATTCGATTTGGATGATTGTTGATAGGCTTACGAAGTCAGCTCATTTTATTCCTATTAACATCAGTTTTCCAGTGTCGAAGTTGGCTGAGATTTACACTAGTGTGATTGTGAAGTTGCACGGTGTTCCTTTGTGCATTGTGTCAGATAGAGATCCAAGATTTACTTCTGATTTTTGGAAGAGTTTGCAAGAAGCGTTGGGTTCTAAGTTGAGGTTGAGTTCAGCGTATCATCCTCAGACAGATGGTCAGACTGAATAGACGATTCAATCGTTGGAAGATTTGCCGAGGGCATGTGTTCTTGAGCAAGGAGGTTTGTGGGATACTTATCTTCCGTTGATAGAGTTCACTTATAATAACAGTTACCATTCCAGTATTGGGATGGCACCTTTTGAAGTGTTGTATGGTCGAAGATGTAGAACTCCTTTATGTTGGCATGAATCTGGTGAGAGTGTAGTACTTGGACCTGAACTTGTTCGTGAGACTACTGAGAAGGTGAAGTTGATTCGAGAAAATATGAAAGCTTCACAAAGTAGACAGAAGAGTTATCATGACAAGCGAAGGAAAGATTTAGAATTCCAAGCTGGTGATCATGTGTTTTTAAGAGTTACACCTGTGACTGGTGTTGGGCGATCATTGAAGTCTAAGAAGCTCACTTCTCTTTTTATTGGACCGTATCAGATTTCGGAGAGAGTGGGGAATGTTGCCTATAGAGTGGCTTTACCGCCTAATCTCTCGAATTTGCATGATGTGTTTCACGTGTCGCAACTTAGGAAATATATTTCAAATCCATCTCATGTGATTCATATGGACGATGTGCAAGTATGGGATAATATTACGGTGGAGATGATGCATGTACGGATCACGGATCGTGAAATAAAGACTCTGAGGGGCAAAAAGATTGCCTTGGTTAAAGTGGTTTGGCTAGGAGCTGCCGGAGAGAGCATGACTTGGGAGTTGGAGAGCAAGATGCGATACTCCTACCCTGAGTTGTTTAATTTAGGTAAACTTTCGAGGACGAAAATATTCTAAGTGGGAGAGAGTTGTAACGCCCGTAATTTAATTAATCATTTAATTAAATTATTTTTGGAATATTTGAGAGGATGTGTTATAATTAATGGGATTTATTTATTAAGTGGAGAAATAATATTAGAAGTATAATATTATTTGGTGTGGGCTTATTTTGAAGGAATAAAAGTAATAAGGGGGTGTATTAGTTTGGAGCCCAATAAGGAATAAAGAATAATAGGTTATTCTATTGTTGTTAGAAGAAATAGAAAGAAAGAAGCAGTAGAAGAATAAGGATTAAGAAGGAGAACGTGAAGCTGCTGGAAAAAGTGGAAAACGGCATAACGAGAATTCAACCAGAAAATTATAGAGCGACCTTCAATCCAAGGTAAGGGTGAGGTTCTGACTTTATAATTGGTTTTATGATGATTGATATGTGGGGTTAGCGGTGATTGCTATTTTGTTCTTGAATTGGATGTATATGATGATGTATGATGAAGATTTGATGAATTTTAGATGAATAATGATGTCCCGATGTTGTTTGATCGATGTAGTATTATAGGATAATTGTAGGTGATGATTTATCATGATTATATTAAGTTTGTAGGGTTAAAAACATGAATCCCGTAGTGAGATGCAGGGAAGAAAATCGCAGAATTATGCAGGAAGGATCAGGATGTGTCGACCTCAAACTTGATGCGTCGATATATGAGGGCCTAGAGACTCAGTATGAGTCGACACGGAGAGGCTTGCGTCGATACATGAATGTTGAAAGACTCAGGATGAGTCAATATGTGGGATGTATGTGTCGATACATGCTGTGTGCAAGACTCAGGATGAGTCGATCCATGAGAGGATGCATCGAATCATGTTGTGCAGTTAGAGCAGTACGCGTCAATCCAAGGGGTTTTGTGTCGACCCATAATGCCTGATTTTTGGCAGATTCGGTTTTAAAGTGTTGTAACTTGAGTTTTAGGATGCCGTTTGAGATGTCGTTCGAAGTGTTGGATAGCTAACACGATGAACATTATTCTAGAGGATTAAAATGAATAATAGGAAGTGTAATCTTAGTAGCCAATTTAGGATTTAGAGTTAATTCCCATGTTGATCATTGCGTTGGTTTTGTACAAAATGATGAAGATGAGATGCTTAGAAGCTGCTGTTTGAATTATAACAGTAGGATTAGTGACAATAATGATGTAAGAATTACAGAATAGCAGTACGAATTACTGTGGTATTAATGTACAGTTGAGTTGTTAGTGAGAAGTTGTTAATGATGTTGTGTTGATGATTTATAATAAATAAATGATGTTTGATGAATTATTATGATGATACGAGATGTCGATGAAGAGACGTTGAGATGCTTTTGAGATGTTGTTAATTTGAGATGTTGTTAATTTGAGATGTTGTTAACTTGAGATGTTGTTAACTTGGGTGTTGTTATTACATTCATGATTGTGTCGTATACATTACATTTTTTTAAGATGGAGCTTATGCTCGTTGAGATGGCCTGTATTGGCGAATTTTGAGATGAAGGTTATGCCTTGTTGATGCCTCTTTTAATTGGAAATTTTTTGAGATGAGAGTTCTGCTCCAATGGTACCACATGCATTTGCATAGTATTGAGTCACATTATATGATTGCATAAAGAAGTGTGTGATGATGCTGTGAATGTATTATTATTGTTGATTATGAGATGAGAAGTGGTGATGTTATGTGATCTAATTTAATATATTAATTATTATGCGCTTTATTATATTGTTAGATATCTCACCTCTTCTGTTTGAATGTTGCCCTTATGTTGGTAACGTGCATGTAATCGAGAGTAAAGGCTGTATACCTTCAGTAGTTCGAGTCGGTGTCATTGCTCTGATATGTAACACTTGGGAGGATGAACGCTTGCTGTTTTTTATTGTTGATTATTATTAAATTGTGTTGTTTTGAAGTTGCTCTATTAATAATAAAATTGTTATTGAGAATTCCGCTGCGTAGATGTTGAGTTATTTAATTAAAGATGTTATGATGGTTCATCCGATGTTTTGAAAGTGTTATATATCCATGATGAATGCAATGAGTTTTATAGAAGAATTTGTGACGCCCTAGTTCGTTTGCATGATTGAATTTTATAACTCTGATTTATTTTATATAATTGCTTGGGATAGAATTGGGGTGTTACAGTTCGAATCACATGACTGGTCAAAAGGTATGGTTGGAAGATTTTGATGAGTCAAAGAAGAGCAAGGTAAAACTTGATGATAATAGTTCGTTGCAAGAAAGAGTTATTGTCAACATAGTTTTTCAAATGAGTAATAGAAGGAAAGCTATGATCAAAGATATGCTCTATGTACCTAGAATAAAGTGCAACCTGCTAAGTGTTGGACAACTTATCGAAAAAGGTTTCTCAGTTGTTATGAAAGACGGGGCTTTAAAATTGTTCAACACCAAAAACAATTTGGTCTCGAAATCTCCTTTGTCGAAGAACGAGACATTTAAGACCATGATCAGTTCGACTGAAGTACAATGTCTAAAAACTATTGTCGACCACAAGGATAGTTGGTTGTGGCATTTGAGGTTTGGACATTTGAATTTCCAATCACTCAATCAGATGGTTACTCAAGATATGGTAATTGGTAACCCAAGTCTTGAGATGCCCGACAAACTCTGTGAAGGTTGTTTAGTCGGAAAACAATCCAGAAATTATTTCATTTCGAATATGCCAATGAGATCATCCTGCATAATCAAAGTGGTACATTCAGATGTATGTGGTCCATTCGAAGAACATACCATTGGCAGAAAAAATATGTTTTTTTTTCATTTGTCGATGATTATAGTCGAAAGCTGTGAATCTATGTGATCAAGAGAAATGACAAAGTATTTGAAATATTTAAGAGATTCAAGATGCTTGTCGAAAACTAGAGGGAGAAGCATATCAAAGTTATGAGAACAGATGGAGGTGGCGAATACACATCTAAGATGTTTGAAAATTTATGTGCAGAACATAGTGTCGATCACGAGGTAACTTCTCCTTATACGCCTCAACATAATGGAACTGCAGAAAGAAGAAACATAACTATATTGGATACGACAAGATGCATGCTGAAGTAGAAGAATTTGCTATGGGGAGAAGCTGCTTCGACTGCAGTTCATATTTTCAAGAGGTGTCCTACCAAGAAATTCAAGAACAAACTTCCTGAAGAAGTGTGAGGTGGCAAACGACCATCAGTAAGTCATTTGAAGAAGTGTTAGAATTGTAAACAAAAAATGTAACAAAACAAGATGAAATAAAAAAATAAAAAAATAAAATTGCGAAATGTGTACCTTGTGGATAGATGCAAAACCCTTGTTCAACATAAACCCCTCTTCCTCCAACTTGAACCTATTTCCAGAATGAAATCAATTCTAAACCCAAAGTTTTCATCTTTATCTTCCAATTTCCCCAAACTCTCTTCTTTCTGTCTCTTTTCATGCCCTTTCAGCAACAACCGATCTCGATTCTCCAACCCTCTTCGCCTGAACCCAACAACAATAACAACAACACCCTTCATTGTTTCATCCACTAACTCCATTTCCCAATCTCAAAATCGAACCTTGCAAGCCTCAGCATCTACTTCCGGTGATATTCATGTCATTCTCGGCCCCATGTTCGCCGGAAAAACCTCCTCTCTTATCAGCCGCATGCAGTCGGAGTCCGCCAATGGAAGGTCAAATCCTCTCCTTAAAACATTTGTGTTGTTTTTAATAATTTATTCTTTAAGCTCTTGTTTGGATAATCAACCTAATTAAGCACTTATAGTATAAGTGTTTATGTATAAGCTATATTTATAACAGAAGAGCTTATGAAAATAAGCATAAAGCTTGTGGACATTGTCATAAGTTGTTTTCGGAAGCTCTCTTGATAAGTAGTTTCACAGTTGTTTATGTTAATAGATAAGTTCAAATAAGTTAATCCTAACATGCCTTAAAACTAAAAACATTGATGTATTGTGCATTTTCTACATTTAATTATGAATGAAAAAAAGACTTTTGCTTTGGAGTGCTATTGTTAGTTGTAAACTTGCAAAAATCACTGGTAAGATATTCTCAGCTTTCAGGTCAAGTTTCGCAGAAAATACTCGGAATTTGGATAAGGTTTTGCAAGGTTTGTGTGTATCTGGAAGGTTGGCAGAGGCAATTAGGCTCTTGTATCGCACGGGATTACGACTTCATCCGAGAACCTATTCTTTGATGCTGCAGGAATGTATATTCTGGAAAGATTATAGAAGGGGAAGAAGAATTCATGCTCATATGGTTATTGTTGGATATGTTCCCAATGAATATTTGAAGACCAAATTGTTGATATTGTATGCAAAATCAGGATGTCTAGAAACTGCACGGTTTCTATTTAATGACTTGGTGGAGAAGGACGTGTTTGCATGGAATGCAATCATAGCTGGCTATGTTCAAAAGGGTCTTGAAGAAGATGGGTTGGAAAATTTTTATGGGATGAGACAGACTGGTCTGAGACCTGATCAGTATACCTTTGCATCAGTTTTCAGGGCCTGTGCAACTTTGGCGTTGTTAGAACCCGGGAGGCAAGTGCATGGTGTTATGTTGAAGTGTCAAATTGGGGACAATGTTGTAGTCAACAGTGCATTAATAGACATGTATTTTAAATGCAGTTCTATTTGCGATGGACAACTTCTGTTTGATAAATGTTTGAGTAGAAATACCATTACTTGGACTACTCTAATATCTGGGTATGGAAAGCACGGAAGGGCCGCAGAGGTTTTAGATTCTTATCATAGAATGATAAGTGAATCTTTTAGACCGAATAATGTTACTTTTCTTGCAGTTTTGGTTGCTTGTAGCTATGGGGGTTTGATTGATGAAGGCCATAAATATTTTCAATCAATGATAAGAGACTATGGAATAGTGCCTCAAGCTAAACATTATGCAGCAATGGTTGACCTTTTAGGGCGTTCCGGGAAGTTAAAAGAGGCTTATGAATTTGTTCTGAAATCACCTTGTAAAGAGCACTCGGTGATATGGGGTGCCTTGCTTGGGGCTTGTAAGATTCACGGTGACTTAGACTTGTTAAAAATTGCCTCTAAGAAATATTTTGAATTTGAACGCGTAAATGCTGGAAAGTATGTTGTCTTAGCAAATGCTTATGCCTTGTCTGGTTTGTGGGATGATGTTGAGGATGTTAGGGCTTCTTTGAGGGAATCAGGGATGACAAAGGAGCCTGGTTATAGCAGGATAGAGGTGCAAAAGGAGGTTTGTTTCTTCTTTAAAGCCGATAAATCTCACCAACAAGCTGATGAGATTTATCAGGTAATAAGAGAGATTACCTCTATACTAAAGGATGCAGGTTATATTCCTGGTTTAAGTAGAAATTGATAAATGCAGCGGAAAAAAAGAGACATAAATTTCTGCTGCTTAAAATTTTGGTTGAGAATTTGCAATGTCCTTGATGAGTTATACATGATTGATTCTTTAGGGATTCAAACATGTTATGATTTGCAAGGAAAGCTGCCGAATTGTAGATTTTGGATTTGAAACTTTACTCATGGGACATTGTGCTGTGCTAGTATAGTATGTACATTCTTTAACTACCTGTGAATAATGTTCCTTTGATGCTACCCAATATTTCGTTATTTGGGTTAGCCATACACACTGGGCATGTTTCTGCATCTGGCAAGCTATTGGGTCATTGGGTGGATAGCCGACTGGTATTTTTCTCTTCTAGGAAAAGGGACCAGTGAAGAGAGTTTAAGAAAAGATCTAGAGTGAGTGAGTATACAAGACAGTTAGTTTAATCAATTGTTTTAATTATTCACATTTGAAGGAAATTCTCAATTCTTGGGAGTCCTTTCTGTTTTTGGGTTATCATCTATAGTGAAGACTCGTAGATGAATTTCTTCATCCTCTTGGAGGATCTCATAAACTTTTTTTTTCTCCTGAAAATCTTTGATTTTTAAATTAATTTCGTTGTGATAAGTTGCAGGATCGGTAGGTAAAAGGACAAATCAATTTCATAGATTCAAATATGCATGCATGTCGGTGCTTGCTGACTTTCTAGATGGTGTTTTACTTGCCTTTCTGATTTTGTGATGATCTTGTGTTATCTTTTCCGTTTGTAAGCAAAAAGTGATTTAGCGTCTATGTAAATGACTCTTAACTGTTTAATATTATTTATAATTTATAGTTCATTAGAAATAATTTACTTTTATACTACCTCCGTTCCTTTTTATAAGAGACAAGTCACTTTTTAGATTCATTGAGTAACTAATGTATTTGATTTGTTTATAGACTAAATACATTGATTATTCAATGAAACAAAAAAGTGAACCGTCTCTTATAAAAAGGAACGGAGGTAGTACTTTCTTAACATCTAAACTGATTTAGTTTTGCCTTTAACCGTATCTATATGTATATGATGCTTGTGTTGGACGGATAGGAATTCCTTAATTGTGGTTTTAGGAAAGCTGTGAGCTGGTTTGGCAATAGCCTTATCTTATAGATATATGTTTTACATTTCGTGTTTCTTTGATGCAGAAATGTAGCAATAATTAAATCAAGCAAGGATACACGATATGGATTGGATTCAATTGTTACGCATGATGGTGCAAAATTACCATGTTGGGCACTATCAGATTTATCATCATTCAAACAGAAGTTTGGAGTTGATGCTTATGAGCAGGTATCATGGTTTGAAGTTTTGTGATATCTGTTTAAATACCTACCTACGTGATTGGTTTGCTGCCTTCATTTTGTTTGATTCTCACAACTGATAAATGATGACAGCTGGACGTGATTGGCATTGATGAAGCTCAATTCTTCGACGACCTTTACGATTTCTGCCGTGAAGCTGCTGATCATGATGGAAAAACAGTAATAGTTGCAGGACTTGATGGTAACTTCTTGAGGTATTGTTACATATAATTTGATGTTTTAAGATATTCCTTTGTTTTGGAAGAGCAACATCCCAATGTTTTGTCATGTCACGATAAATTCTCAGTTTAACTGTCTTTTAGTTATATCAAACTTTGAGTGATTATCCAAGTCCTCATGACCTGATGGTATTTCTGCATTTTCTGACAGGAGGAGCTTTGGTTCCGTCCTTGATATAATTCCTCTTGCCGATTCTATAACTAAGTTAACGGCTCGATGTGAAATATGTGGGAAGAATGCTTTGTTCACTCTGAGGAAGACACAAGATACACAGGTTGAGTTGATTGGTGGAGTTGATGTCTACATGCCCGTATGTCGGCAGCACTACGTCAATGGGCAGGTAGCCGTCAAAACGGCTCGAAATGTGGTGGAATCTAACAAGGTTGAATGTGGCTCCCATACATAAATACACCATTCTTAGCAGCTTCTTGTAACTTGGTGTGCCAAATCTTACTAATTAGAAGGAAATATATAGATTAGAATCATTTTTCAATTGATCATGTCAATGTAGTTTTGATGTTTTATTGTTTTAGAATGAAAGCATTGTTCTATCTATGCTGTTAGATTGTGAGGTTGGTGCAACTTTTAGAAATGTGGGTTTGTCAATCTAAATGTACCAATTATATATGTAATTTATAACATGGCATGAACATTTTCATATAGTTTAATGATGTTTATCAACGTCTTTGCAAGATAGGTCTGAATACTGATTCAAAGGGAAAAAAAATTAAAAAGATGTAAAAATTGCTTGCAAGATAGGTCTGAATACTGATTCAAAGGGAAAAAAAATTAAAAATATGTAAAAAAATTGCTTTCATTGAGAGTTGAACTCAAGACCTCCCGCTTACTAAACGGGTGCTCTAACCAACTGAGCTATGAAAGCTTGTTGAGGTCTGTATGGACGAAACTGTATAGTTCAATAGTTTTCGAAAATATATCCCCTGTAACCATTAAAATTAAATGAGTAATGGTTCAGTGTTTTTGAATTTAAGTGGAAATAAATGAGTTTTTTTTACTCGAAACTTAAGAACTTAAGAGCTATTAACGATATAATGATATTGATATATAAATTGAAAGAGCTTTTAAACATGTCATTTACGGTATACTGCAATTTCTATTTAATAGGAAATAAGTAGGTAAGTAGACAAACACAATAAAACAATTTGTAATTAGTAAACTCACTAGTAATTAATAGTTCCACTCACTAATGAAAGTAATTGAGTTATTGGAATAAAAAAAGATAAATGAATGAACATTCACTAAAAATTACTTTAGAGATAAGTGCTATTTAATTGGTAATGAAGATTGTATAAAATTAATAAATATAATAGGACTCTTTATATCTAATATTTCTCACGCGATTAATTAAAAATTAAACTACAAGAGATGTAGAAACAATGATTAAAAAATCGGATGAATTATCAAATCAATGAAGGTATTGGATCATTAGTTTATTGATCGAATTATTGAGTTATTGGTAGAATAATATGACTAAATCAGATTAAATCGGATGATTCAATGTAATAAATCAGTCTCTATAACAAAATTATATAGTTAATAAATCGGTCAAGTCAGATGGCTCGCCCTCTATAAAAACTCACGACACCTACAAAATTTCAAAATTTCAAAATATAATAATTTCACAAAATTTTGAAATATAATAATTTCACAAAATTCCAAAATATAATAATTTCACAAGTTCATTCTTTAAAGGGTCAAATATATTTTTCGTCCCTATAAATAACCCGTCATTGAGTTTTAGTCCATATAAAAATTTCTTTCGAATAATGGCCTTTCTAAAGTTTTCTATCCACAATTTTGATCTCTGTCGTTAACTTTCTCTAATAAAAGCTGACATAGCACACCATTGAACGTACATGTAGCAGTGACATACAAACAAATATGCTTAAAACACCTCTTAGATTGCAGGGGTTACAAACTTCTTTAAAATACGCTTCCAAATCAAAATCATATTCAAGATTCAAGAAAAAGATTTGTCTCTCTTTCACCATTAGAAACTTCCAAATATGTTTTCTCAGGCTAATGATGCTTTTGTTCAATCATATGTTTTTTTTGGTACAATGGGAAAACAAGTAAAAAGATAAGACATAAAATTATCTAGAAATTAAAGTCCCACTAGCACCAGCTAGCAGGAGAAGATGATTTTAAGAGGAGACTCTGCAAAAGACCGATACGCCGCATCATTACAAGCTCCATGTTTTGCTAGGTAGTCAACACAAGCATTCCCCTCTCTAAGAGTACGAAATATTTGAGCTCGACATTTCCTAGAGAGAAGTTATTTAATATTGTGAAGAATCGCGGCATAGTGATGCCAAATGTTAACAGACTCTGAGATAAGCTTGATAGTAGAGTTGGAGTCAGAATAACACATCAGGTCTTTAATGTCAAGTTCCTAAGCCTTATGAAAACATGATATAACAACATTAACTCAACATGAAGGATGTTGGAATAACCAATATTACCCATGAAATCATGAACCCAAGCATCATCAACATTTCAAATCAATCCACCTAAACCCGAATTGCCAGGATTATCAATGCTACTGCCATCAATATTCAAAATTATATTACTATCTTTGTATGCATTCCACTTGCATATAATAGTTTAGAATGGAGTTCAAAACAAACCTAACCAGAGTCAAACGACCAACCTTATTTAATGATTTATGTTGTCAAGATGATAACCCCTGACTGATTTTCTCCTATAGGAATTCAAAGTTCTTACGTCGAATACGACCATGCAACATAGGGAAACCCAAATACTTCTCTAAAGTAAGATTTCACTTGGTACATGTTATGGAGACAATTAAATCTATTTTACTTTTATTAGTGGTTGCGGAGACGAACGCCTTTGATTTAACAACATTCTCTTTAAGGCTTGAAAATATGGCAAAACAATTCAAGGTATCATAAATGATCCATGTCTGCTGGGAGATAGAAACCTTCGCAAAAAAAAGAACATCATCAGCAAAAAATAAATTCGATAAAGGGGGTCCATTACAATATAACCTGGTAGGTTTCCAATGGTCTTCATCGACTGTCCTGATGATTGTGTGCGACAAGAATTCCATACAAATAACAAGGAGATAGGGTGGAAGGAGGCCACATTACTGTGGTCTTCTAGTCGGAACAAAATTTTGTAGGAGTTTCCCATTCCAAAGAATAAACATAGAGGAGCTAGTTACATAATGCATGATCAAATGTATAGTAATGTGAGGAAACCTGTTTCTCTTCAAACAAAATTTCAAGAAATCTCAATTAACATGATCATAGGCCTTTTTTAAATCTACTTTGAACACCATGTCAACTTTTTTATTTTTAGATTTACGAATTTAATGAATTTTTTCTTGGAGGATAATGGCATTATCACTTGTCCCTTTGCCAGGAAAAAACCTATTTTGTAAGGGTCCAAATATCTGATTTACATAATGACGCAATCTGTTAACCATAATATTCAACATAAGCTTGTAAATGTCGTTTCATAAGCTAATGAGATTGAATTCCTTAAAATTTTGGAGGCAGTCTACCTTAGGTATTAATGCAATAAGAGTCTTATAAAGAAAAGAGTGAAAAAGTTATATGTCACAAAAGCATCTAATACAAGTTGAACAATGTCATCTCCAACTATATACACAAACTGTTTAAAGAAAATACCCTGAAATCCATCAGGGCCAGGCGCCTTTAAAGGGTGAATTTGATCCAATGCATAATTAACTTCTTCATTCATCACCTATTGATTTAAAGAGTGGTGGGCTTCTTTAGTAAGGCTCAGAGCCATAATTGAGCCACTCATACTAGCAAGGAGTTTAGGAAATGTGGGGAAAAAAAGACCTTTAAAAAATTTAGTGCTTATTTTATAAAAATAATATCATCACTGCACTAAATACCATTGGGAAGATGAAGGCCATGGACTTTATTTATCTTTCTCCTGATTACCGTCTTGGTATGAAAATTTTGGTATTTTGATCTTGCAATTTAATCCAAGGATCTCATGATACTCCTATTGAAGCTCCTATTGGAGATACATTGGTCTTGTCGAATCTATTCTCTTCAAAAAGTACTGGATACCCATGAGTCTATTCTTAATATTGTGCTTCTGTTTACTGATATTGCAAAAAGTTTACTTATTAAAAATGATAGAATCATGCTGCATATTTTGGAGACAAGATACAATGTCATATGGTGATTTCCCCTCCAACAGTCTGGACTATATTGGAGTATTTCGGGTGAGTGATACAAGTTGCCTCAAACTTAAAAGGTAGCTTCTAAACAAGTATTGTATCTTAGATGTTGCGAGGATTGCTCTTATTCGCGATTTGCGAAATCAAAAATCACTTACAAGAGAAGTTGATGGAGAAAGGGAACATCAAAGATTGTCATGTGGCCCCATTTTACCGCGAGTAAGTATATATTAATTTGTTTTCTCAGTTATAAATCACTTTTATCCATATTATTAATGATTTTGAATGTTTATGCAGCCGACCTTGGGAACTACTTATTATATGTCACAAGAAAAATACTATAGTTGTGTTTTGCTCGGTGTACTCGACATTGTCTGATGTTGTGGTTACTACTTTGAATGGGTAAGTGATATAGTTTTTAATACTCATATTTAACTTTAGAATTGAATATTTTGTATTCATGTTTAATTTTAACTGACATGTGTAGAGCGCTATAGGAATTTAATGCGCGTAGAAGAAATCTTATTGGTAAAAAGCTAGTCTATGTTTACTCAAGAATTAGTACATTATTTGTGCTTTTTGATATTATATTATTTGTGTGTATTAGTATTACATAAATAAATGAAGTTTATTTGTAGTGGCGAAAACAATCTGACGATCATTCTTGTGGATATTATGTTATGAGATATATGCTTCATATTGCCTCTAGAGGCATTACACAAGGATGGATGAATAATAAGGTATTAGCTTATCATAATTTAAATTTTGTTCTAATTATAAGAGCTTAGTGTTGTACCCCAAAATTTGCCCTCCCATATTCTTCAAGAAATTGCCAAGCCAAGTCACAAAATTCCCCAAGGGTTGCACAGTGCAAAGGTCTCCTATACAGTCAAGATTAGGGTTTTGAGTATGATCAAGAAAAGGAAGTTTTCAAGGGCCCAATCAAGTCTCATATGCCTACAAATATGGTCAAGTATCCTCATATCAAGTTTCAAGGCATTCAGTACAAAATTGCGCAGTAAAAAACCCTAATTGCACTACAGTCAACTGTAGGGGCAAAATGATCATTTGACAGTCAAAAGTTCAAATTTTTGGTCAACATATCATTTTGAAGCCACAAACATCATTTGATCAATGCTTGATCATGATTCTCAAAATTTGGCTCAGAAATCATCAAGATGCAAAAGTTTCCTTATTTGGACAGT